CCCTTTCCACCTTGGGTCCAGTGATTGATGGCCTACAAATTAACTCACAATAGATAGATTAGAAGGAGAAAAGACCAGTTATATTTATACATGGACTGTGTGTATTCAGGAGAGCTCAGTGATGAGTAACTCACCTAATAACCAGGAACAAAAGCTTATATACTTAACAAAATGGTTAAGGTTTCAATGGGAAAGTATACAAGGTTCTATTGGACTTATTTGTTGAGACAGGGTCTCACTTTGTTGCCCTCCATAGAGTGCTATGGCATCATAGCTCACAGCAACCTTATACTCTTGGGCTCAAGTGATTCTCTTGCCTCAGCATCCCAAGTAGCTGGGACGATAGGCACCCACCACAATGTCCAGATATTTTTAGTTGTAGCTGTCATTGCTGTTTAGCAGGCCTGGGCTGGGCTCAAACCTGCCAGCTTCATTGCATGTGGCTGGCACCCTACTCACTGAGCTACAGGCACCGAGCCAAGAAGGTTCTGTTGGACTTTTTGATGCTAATGATGGATGAATTTGTGCTTTCTGTTGCTAAGGGGCAGGCAGTCTTTACTCAATTAGGAAATTCCTGGGAGGGGAGTCAATGGCAATTATATTTTCCGGAGGCCATTTTTTTCCTACTGCTGCTATGTGTTCAGATATTTTCAGTTGAAAGTAATTTTCATACCACTTTGGTAAGTTATTAATCCCTTCAGCCGCCATATGATCCCCTCCACAATACTGTGTTTTGCTTCTTAAGACCATCATGAAAACATTTATTGCTTCATGTTGCATCTTTTAAAAACCTTAACTTCTTTAGGTCAGGCCTAAGAATAATCTCTCATTGGTTAATTCAAAGTCAACTGAGTAGAGACCTTAATTATATCTTTTGAAAAATCTTATTTCATAATGTAACATAATCACAAGAATAATATCCCACCATAGTCCCCACACTCAAGGGAAGGGGATTACACTGGTCACGTAAACCTGGAGATGAAGTTTTAGGGGCCATCTTAGAATTCCTCCAGTCATGCCAATTGATAAGGTGAAAAGCTCAGTCTAGTACTACAGAAGCCATAAGATATGGTCCCACATATTCTACCCTGCTAAATGGATGCTCTGTACCATGGTTAGATCAGATGCCTCTAAGATGATCCATAATAGTATGCAGAATGTAGTAACTCCATTTGTGTATTCAAGAAGACTTTTTAAACCAACTTTCTTTATTTTTATTATTTCTTTCTCTTACCTGATATATAGTTAACAAGCATAAAGAAATACGTATAACATTTCAATTAAATTCATTTATCTTTATTAAAATTCCAAGTTCTCATATTAGGTAGTCGGGTCCATAGACCACAAATTCCCTTATTAATCCCAAAGAGTTGCTATGACCTGTATTTTTGTTGCCTATATTGTTGTGTAAAAAGTTACCTTCAGACTTAGTGGCTAAAACAACAGAGTTTCTGTGGGTTTCCATGGGTCGGAAGTCCAAACATGGCTTAACTGTGTCTTCTGCTTCAGTTTCTCTTGCAAGATGGCAACCAAATCCCACTGGAGCAGGATGTGCTTCCAGGATTCTTCAGGGGTGCTGACAGGACTCAGCCCCTTGAGGGCTGTTGAACTGAAGCCCTCAGCTTGAAAATGAAATGACTTTTAAAAATGACTTTTAATTTTATTAAAGTCACTCCTGTTTCTTTACCACCCGGGTCTCTCCAACTTGGCTATTTGCTTATCAAAGCAAGGGAGAAAGTAGTAAGACAGAGTAACAATCTTTTATAAACTAATCTCAAAAGTGGCATCCCTTCATGTTTATCTTATTTAATTCATTAGAAGCAAGTTGTAAATTCAGCCCACAACTGGGAAGAAAGTTATAAATGCTAGGAGGTCAGGGATTGTTAAGGCCATCTTAGAAATGTGCCCCCCACATTGCCTGAATGAGAAAACAATCTATCAGACCAAGGAAAAATGAACCAAAGTGCCTGTTTCCAAGAAATGAATGAAAATTGCCTTTTAAAATTATATTTGCTTATTCAGAGGCAGAGCTTGATGGGACTGGGTTCATAATGGGAGTGGCCAGCCCTTGTCTGAGGAGAAAGTACAAATGGGAGCCAAAACTGAGAAGCTAAATTTAGAATCAGAGGAGCAACATTAAGTATCAGGTCCAAGTTATGATTATAAGGCTGTAGATGAGAGAGGGAATAAGAGGTCAGGAGCCCAGGAATACCAAGCCAGCACAGAAGCCAAATATTAGACTAGGGAAAGCAGAGAGTTTCATGAACAGAGAAACCTGTTTTATGAACCCCTCCCTCCGGTTTTAAAGACACAAGGTTAGGCCATACTTTTCCTCTCAATTATTGAAAGGTCATAAAGTACTCTCATATTTTTGTTTTAAGTTCAAATAAATAGAAAACTTAATGGTTTAGTGAAAATTTTAAAAGTAGGAGGGAGTGTTATTCCAAATGAAATTATTATTATTGTTGTTATTATTATTTTCTTTAAGACAGGGTCTCTTTCTGTTGCCTAGGCTACAGTGCTCTGGTGTCAGCCTTGCTCATGGCAACCTCAAACTTTTGGGCACAGATGATCTACCTGCCTCGGCCTTTGGAGTAGCTGGGACAACAGGAGCTTCCTCACAAGGCCTGGCTCATTTTTCCTATTTTTACTAGAGATGGGTTTTGCTCTTGCTCAGGCTGATCTTGAAATTCTGAGCTCAAGGGGTTCTTCTGCCTTCTTCACCGTCCTACACCACGTGCTGAGCACACACCTTGGAGTTCTCTAGCTTAAAATGAATGTGATGAAGGCACTGCTGGCTTCTCCTAATGATTGTTTTATTTTTGTTTTTATTTTTAATATTCCCTTATTTTGACCTTAATAATCTACTTTTCTCGAAGGTCAGCAAATAATGTGATCTAGAATCTATAATGACCTTTCACAGTATTTTCAAAACTGATGACATCCTTGCCTAAGATTTTTGTTTTTCGTTTATATGCCGTTGAACCATATGATAGGTGAAACTAAAGCTATGTTGAAAGCAAAGAACTATTCATTTCTAGGGAAAGAAAGCCAGTTATATTTAATTCCCTTTATGTCTGCTACCAAGTATGCCTTCGATGAGATGATAGAGGTAACCAGTCACTTTCATTCCCCTTTCCTCCACATGCCTGGAAATTAACATTTTTGACACTTATTTTGAGGGTTTGTTCTTTTAAAATTTATTACTTTGTGAATCTTAGATTATTCAATTATAATTCTTCATAAACTTTTATGGTACTTTTGTTTAGCTTCTTCATCGAAATTAGCAATCAACTGAAACCAAATAACAAATCACTATGCAAAAATGTAAATGCCTATTTAAATTTGCCAATTCTAGACATGAATGGCCAGTTTTGCTTATTTAGAAAAGGCTGACATTTTATTTCTTTCTATAGCATCTGCTAAATATAAACAAATCATATAGCTTCAGATTAAATTAACATGGTATGTCTGTACATTTGGGCTACCTTTCATTGTTTTAAGAAAAATCTGATCATTGTGAGGTAGCATCTGTACCATTTTCTCAGACAACACACCCTGGTATCTGAAATCCAGGTGCTTGTAATTTCTATGGGTAAATTGAGATATATAAATATAGATGTAGATATAGATACAAATGTGGAATGCAGATGTAGATAAATATTTCACCATTGAAAAAAATAATTGCTTCAAAGAGCTTATCAGAGCAAAATCCTGAGGTGGTACATATATGAACTCAAAGGTGTGTGTCTGTGTTTGTGTGTATAGATGTGTATGTGACTTTTGTTTGGAAGAGTGAAAGAACTACAAAAACATGTGCTTCAAGGGACCTAAATCAGCAACAAAGTATACTCAAAGGAAGCCTGAGTAAGAGAAGGGAATAAGGTACTGGAGCAAGGTCAGGGAACAGGAAAGGATGTCAGAATTTGAAGTACATCTGCCCTTTCCAATATATGAAACATCCAGGGTACATTAATTTAGTTTTAGCTATTTAGCAGGTCATGACTAAGAAAATTAAAGGAGGCCTTAAAAAAAAAACTCAACCTTGAAGCAATTTTTTTTATTGGGTCCCAATCGCATTTTAAATGGTATTTTATGCTTATAGGCAAATGTACACATCTCTGTTGCTACATTTCTGGAGTCTTGATATTTGTAACTGTCAAAAATAAAGAATTAATAAATAGTCCTGGTTCTTAATAGGAAAAAATTCTTCTAAATTTGGAAGCCAACACCAAGAAGAGTTTTTACTATTGAGAGAAAGTATCTGTGAAGAAAAGAGTCTATGAGTTAATTTTTAAATACTGTCAGTTGTGTTCACTTGCAAAAAAATCTATCATTGTTTATTCAATATGTGAAAAGTCTGTGGCCTCATTTAAGTTCACAATTGCTCAAATACAAAGTTGGGAATGAAGTAAAACATATCGGCATTGTGCTGTCTTCTTATTCCTTCTTTCCTCTAGTCCTTTTATCTCTTTTACTTTCCAAATGTAACAGTTTCTACACAGATTATATACTTGTGAAAAGGGCTTCTTCATTCAGCCCTCTAAAGGGAATCCAAAAATAAAGGGAAAGGGTAAAATTGGCTTAAAGTCAATCCAAAAATGAAGGGAAAGGGTAAAATTGTAAACAAATTTTGGGGGAACTAGTGAGTACTCATAAATTCCATTTTATGAATGATCTCTTGTGTCACCTTTATGGAAACCATAGTGAGTGCATGAAATTCTTGGTTCAGAAGTTGATGATGTTTTGAATTTAAAAATATTGAAGAAGAAGAAATTTTCTTCTCATTTCATAATAAATTATATATATTGAAGTATTCTCCATCCTATCCTAGGTTACAAAACAGATCCTCCTAAGACATAAAATATCAATTTGATATATATTACTTAACATTTTCTTTGGCTCATTTGAGAGACAAATATGGACACTTCAAGAGGGAGAGAAGGTGGGAGGGACAGAGGACTGGAAATTAACCACATTATGCCTTGTTATTCTCATAGGATCTCATGACTCCTTCAGCTTCTACATTGATGAAGCCTCTCCAGTTGGTCCTGAACAGCCAGAAACTGTCCAGAATTTTGTGTCTGTGTTTGGAACTGTAGCCAAAAAGCTCATGAGGAAATGGTTAGCCACTCAAACAATGAACTTTACTGGTCAGCTGGGAGCTGGAATCCGTTATTTTGATCTTCGAATTTCCACCAAGCCCAGAGACCCCGACAATGAACTCTACTTTGCTCATGGTTTGTTCAGTGCCAAAGTCAATGAGGGCCTTGAGGAGATCAATGCTTTCCTCACAGATCACCATAAGGAGGTCGTATTCTTGGACTTCAACCATTTTTATGGGATGCAGAAATATCACCATGAAAAACTGGTCCAGATGCTGAAAGACATCTATGGAAACAAAATGTGCCCAGCAATCTTCGCCCAGGAAGTTAGTTTAAAGTACTTGTGGGAGAAGGACTACCAAGTCCTGGTCTTCTACCACAGCCCAGTGGCTCTGGAAGTGCCCTTTCTCTGGCCTGGGCAGATGATGCCGGCGCCCTGGGCCAACACCACAGACCCTGAGAAACTGATCCAGTTTCTTCAGGCATCGATCACTGAGAGAAGAAAGAAGGGCTCGTTTTTCATATCTCAGGTGGTGCTGACCCCCAAAGCCAGCACTGTGGTCAAAGGGGTGGCAAGTGGCCTCAGAGAAACTATCACTGAAAGGTAAGTGTCCCTTAAATGTCAGGGGAAGAGCTCGAATATGTCACTCCAATTCAAGGAGCTAGCAAGTGATGGAGCTAAAATGTATACCCGTGTGTGTTAGTTTCCCTGGGCTTTTATAACACACGTAGTCCTACCACCTACTGGGGTACCTTAAAATGATAGAAATGTATTCTCTCACAGTTCTGGAGCTAAAATCCTAAACTCCAGGTGTCTGCAGAGTTGGTTCCTTCTGAGGACTCTGAGGGAGAGTCTTTCCTTTGCCTCTCCTGGTGTCTGGTGATAGCTGGCCATCTTTGGTGGTCCTTGGCCTGTAGACACATCACTCTGATCTCTGCTTCACATCACCTTCTCTCATGTCTCTGCCTTCTCTACCTTCTCCTTTTCTTGTAAGTTCAGCAGCCAAATTGTATTAGGGCCTTCCCTAATGACCTCATCTTAGCTTGATTACTTCTGCAACACCCTATTGCCAAATCAGGTCACAATCACAAGTACTAGGGGTTAGGACTTTAACATTTTTTGTGGACACAAATCCACCGATAACACTATGTATTTTGACTCCACATCTCATTCTCTTCCCATAACACTGCTTTCACATTGCAGAGTTTTTTGTCATCCTAACACAGTCTTTGCATATATCTATTCCATTTGATTTGCATAATACTCTAGGGAAGAAGACATTGTCTTACAAGTTAGAAAAATATGAGATTCAGAAAATTAAAATATTTACCCTAAGACTCCTTCAATGAATGATGAAACAGACACTCAAATTTCATTGGCAAGTCATATCCTATGCTTTTTACACTACATATGCTGCCTTATAAGAAAGTGGTGCCCATTTCATTGGTCAAGCCCTGTAAGGGATAATTTGAATAGTCATTAACAATTTCTGTAGCACTTTCCCATGTGTGTCTAAATAAGCTGAATCATACATATTATTTACTCTTTTGAATTAAACTATTAAGGCATGTAAATATCTAAAGAGAGATCACAAAGCTTTATCTGACCTTTTATTTTTATATTTAATCCATATTTTGAATTATGGTAAGGAATAAATGTGTTTCTTGGACTCAAGGTCATTATAGGAAAGGACAGGATAAGGAAAAAAGATTTCGAGGTGAAAATAGCCTTATAACACAGCATGTAGGATGAGGATTGACAGGAAATAAAGCTTATAATGGGGGCAAGAACTCAGTTACTAGAAACCTTTTAATCAGGCTACAGAGAGCTTCAACCTGTGAGAATGGAGAGCTGGATCATGAAGTTTAGCAACCAAGTGACTTGATCAGATCTGCATTTTAGAGAATAATTGATATATGCTGGAGTAGAGACAGTGAGCTATTAGGAGGTACATATAATGGTTTTAACAAGGTCATGCAAGCTAAACTGAGCAAGTGAGAAAACACTGAAGGGGATAATACACAGGCAGTGAAAATTAGGATGAAAATTCTAGGCAGTGAAAATTCTGAGCTCTGTGGTATTAATAGAAAAAAGAGTTAAAGATAAGTAGGATAGGTGAGGAAGTCATTCACAGATGCAGAAAACAAAGACACACAGACTTGGGAAGGAAATTGAGAAGAAAAAATCAGGGGCATGCTGAATTTAAAGTGTCTGTAAGGCATCCAAGTAGATAAGGGTGATTGATCCTTAGGAATATAGGCCAAATCATTTAGGGGTTATTGGCATGTTTGGGTGGTGAAAGCCCTAAGTCACTGGGGTAGAAGGGTTCTTCCACACAAAATCATAACTTTCTTCTGTTATTCAGAAAGGTCCATTAGCTGGGATCTCCTGGTTCCATGAGATTTAAATAACCAACCCTTCCTTATAGGCCCTGTGCAAGTAGAAGCCTATCCTTTGATGTCTGCTACTGTCTAGATTTCTTATATTTTTATCGTAGGAGCCCTTGTTACCACTGCATTGCATCATTTTACGGCTCAGTTGTCCCACATGCTCTGTCCATATCTCATTCTGAGACATGACATGAAATTTGTTTTGTGCTCCTTTCCACAATGGTTTTTAGACTTTATTAGAGATCTGAGGAGATGGAAAAGGTTTTATGATCACAATAAAGTGCATAACTTAAAACTGTGCTTAGACTTGTTTGAAATTGAGACTCCTCTGCCCTGAGATGTCTTCCGCCGAGGACAGTGACACCACCGTGCACCTCAGCCTCACCTCCTCTCACTGAATCTTTTCCTCCTCCTCCTTTTCTTTGTCTCACCTTGTTTCTTTATCTACCCTCAGATTGCCCAGGAGATCTCACATTCTAGATTAGTATGTGATTAGATTGATAATTCTAGATTATTATGCCTAGCAAGGCAGGTTTTTATTTAATAAGATCACTTTCTACAAATGTTAGTTGTTCTGGTAAGTAACAGTTTTACCCCCCTCACCTACGTGGAAAAGGAGGGAGTTATGCACACATAGAAATGATCCCCCCTCTCTCCATTCTTTCTACACACTGAATGAAGCTTTACTTTTACCTTTTGCATGTTGAGAGTGACACTATCTTCCTGTGGCTTCTTCCATTTGCCTTTGGCTTATATATCTGGAATAGGAGAGCTGCATCATTGGAAAGAGAAAGAGAAGTAGGGAGGAAAACAAATGTGAAAGGTAGAAATGAAGATTTCAGATATAAAATCAATTTTTAAAGGATGTTCCAGTGGAGTTTAGTCTCAGAAGTACTAAAAAAGACTTCCTTTTGGACCATTTGCAAAGCTGTGTTCTTGGCTGTGGTATTACTATGAAGCTCAGGGTGATTTGCTTAGGTTGGTTTGGGGGTTTTGACATATTCTAGCCTTCTGGATGGAGCCTATAGAAAAAGGTTATTGTCAGCTCTTGGGTCATGCCTTCCAAAGGCAACGTACTTACCTCGAAAAGAGACAGAGAAAGAGCACTTGATTCTGCTAGAACTTGTGGCCTTTCTCTACTTACCAACTGATGAAGCCTGTGAGCTGAAGAGATCCCCCATTGTCTTCTTGGCTTTTGTGCCAAAGCCATCCATTCAGAAAGTCCTAGGCTGGCACCAAAAGATGCAATGAGCTCTTCTGTGCTACCTTCATTACCTAACAATTTTAAGGCCTCTCTGTGTCTTAACTATTTTAATCTGCAAAACTGGGAGTTTGATCTAGATTATCTACAAAATCGATTCTAGTTTTAAAAATTTCTACAATTCTTAGATTATGTATTTGATTAGCCAGGTTACCTATAATTTTTTCAATCGTGTCTAATATTTGAGTTAATAAAACTCGGAGCAGGCGCATTTAGAAAATAGTGTTTGAAGTTGTGGGTGGCTTTCAGGGGAAATCAGTCCAGCCTGGATTTAGGGGCCATAGCTTTCCATGTGGCCATTGGTTCCAAATGCTGCAGATGCGTTTTCTACGCTGCAGCAATGCCAAAAGACACAGACTTTTAATTTCTTAAAGACCTATTTTTAATTTATTTTTCAAACACTAGTTTTTACACCTAACTCCTACGAAATTCACACATTCTTAAAAAGAAGGTATGCAACTTGAGTAATGTCCTTTCCTAATTTATGGAAGTTTAGTAAATTGTAGGGTTTTGTTTTTAATTTAAGAAAATGCGGTCATACCACCACTCAGAATTTTTAAGAGGCAATGCAACTAAATTGATGCTGAATGAAGGCAGATGATATTTATACAAGCTAACACTTTAGAGAATGGTGCTGATAATTAATAATAATATTAAGCTATTTTAAGTGTTCTTTATCTATTAGCTATTTTGCTAACTGCTTCATGTACATCATTAGATTTAAGATTCACAAAACTTCCAAATGTAGGTCTTATTGCCATCCCAGCTTAAAGGTAAAGGAACTGAGCCATAGAAGTGTTAAGCAACTTACCTGGATGACACAGTTAAGAAAAGAAGACTCAGGTTGCTTTGTCTGTTTATTTACAAAAACAAGCACATTTGAAAGCCTATTTTTTCTTGACTTTGTACTTCAAGTGAGTGACCTCAGATACAGAGTCTTCAAACCATCACACCCCACTTCTCCCCTGCTATTCATGAGAATCCAAAGCAGTGGCTGCAACATTGTTTTCATTTTATCATATGACAATATCTAGGCCCAATTTGTCAGTGTTTTCAGCTGGACTAGGTTCAATTTTGTACTTATCTGTTGAACAGCTCCTGTGGGTAGGGCTCTGCATTAAGTGCTGTGAGGCATATTAAAATTGGTACAATGGAATTGTTCCCATCAAATATCAAGTAGGTTTGAAAAGATAAGACCTGAATACGTGCTGGAGAAAAAATAAACAGAATTAAAGATTAAGGCCTATGGTGACTTAGAGAAGAGAGATAGCTGGAAAGATTTTGGTTGGCTCTAAAGAAAGCATAACATTGTGATAAGCAAAGACAGGGCGAGAGTGGCTTCCCAGGCTGGAGAAAGAGCGAGAACAAAGCATGGAGGGAGACTATCAAGAGAAGTCAGGGTTGGCTAGAGCAGAGTGAGGTTCAAGGAACATAGGAGATGAGCCTAAGGGAAAATGGAGGGGAAGATCATGGGACTCTAGGCTGGATTCCCATGTGTATTAGGAAGATACTGAGAGGGAAAAGTTAGAAGTGGGCCTCAGATAATGAGACTGGCCTAATTATGTAGCTTGAATAAGAAAGGGAGAAGCTAAAGATGAAGCCTTCAATTCAAAGGGAAAAACAAAGTAGCATGCCCGCAAATGTTTAGGAAAAGAGAGGCGAAGGATGCTGATATGTGTGATTTTAAGCCCTACTGACAGCATCCCCTGCCCCCCGCCCCAGACGACTGAAGACATCATTCCCAGTATCATTCTCCGTGAATGACATACATATAGACGTATGGACTTGGCCAATGTGCAGTTCCACCCCCTTAGTCTCAAGATCACAGTCCCCCTTGAGTGCATGGTAGGATGTTCAAGGTGTGGTTGTTAGTATACATCAATCTTACATGGTGTGTGGGGGGATGGGGAAGGAAGGCAACTGCAGTTATTGAGCTGCCATTATGGGCCAGA